CTTCTGGTTTCAGTAGGGAAACCTATTGTGTCTCCCATGTCCTTCACAACTGAATGTTAATCAAACAAGGACTGCAGAAATGTTTGACCGAGCCTCGTTCAGAAAAGAAAGAAACAACACACAGCGGAACGGGCTTTCCAGTGTCACACTGAGAACATCGTGCACATACTCAAGCATCTTATTGTCATCGACGCCCGGAAACCAAGCAGGGCACGTCGAGTCCCAACAGCCAAGTCGTTTCGTTTTTTACGCGACGGAGGATTGCGCTGTGCTTTCACAAGGCGCTGGGATCCTTGCCCTGTGCGCATCATACCCGTCGCTTCCACGCCAGTCGCGGGGAACCGATTCGTACTTTGCGCCGATTTGTTGCGGCTGCTGCCGCCAGGAGCTGGGAACCCATACTAAGTTGGCCGTGGCTTAGTCACTGTCCAAGTGAGTGAACTTCGATTCCATTGGTTTCTCAGCTCAACTTGCCAATCTGTTCAAAGAGAGAGCTTCTGACTAGATACACCACCGGAAAGATCAGTACATTCAACCATCACACTTCCTCCTTAAACATGGCATCATTCCAACATGGCATGGATTCAAGCGCTGATCCGAGTTTGCCATGTCTGACTGTCTGACTGGCTTGAAATCCCCGACTGGGCCGCACGTCCCTTCTCGCTTCCAGCCAAAGGCCACTTCGAGAGAAAGCAAACACATGCCTTCTAGAAACGCCAGTTGCTCAAAAGCTGCAGGAACGGTACCTCTGTTTGGTGCCGACATCTGGGACCGAAAGGGAAAATGATGATTCTGAGAAACGCGTGGTCCAGCGTATTTTGAGCGGATTTCAAGGCAGCACATCTCGACAAAGTCATCTGGACCCTTGAAGTGGGCAAGTTTGAAAAGGCCGATTTGCTTTGGGCAGAGGATACCCAAGCCAGGCCGTCAACCCAATGCCAACAAACTCATCGGCTCGCAACTTCGGGCCTCCGGCCCGAGGCGGCGTTTCGGCCTGCGCTGGAAAAGACATGGCTGGGTCAGACATGTTTCTGTATCTTTCGAACAGGAGGCTTCTGTGCTGGAGTGTGTTTGGGAATCAACACAAACAGCTGCCCAACATGTTGGGAGACAGGTTGTTTGGAGTCTCCGACATCAAAAGGCTCGCAACTTTGAGTTGTTTGCGTGGCATCATGCCATACTCGGTCTTTCCCGTTCAAAAGAAAAGAGCAAACACATTGAATTTAACAAGCAGGGACAATTTAACTAAAACAACAATGTAAACAAAGAGAAGCTATGCCGACATTTCTTTGGAGAGAGTAGCCGAATGCCGCATCTTCCAAGAGCCTCTCGTCGAAATCGGGAGGACCGCTGCGCCCATGTGCCCCGCGCCTGGAAGGAGCGCCCTCGCAGCGCCTTCCGCACGCCTCCCCGCAAAGAAAAAGGCGCCCGAAGCGGAAGCAGAAGCTATCCATGGGGTGCGAAGAAATGTGCAAAAAAAAACAAACCAAAAAACGTTCTGAGAGAACACAGCTGGATTGAATGAGGGGCCTCAATGCCAGGCGACCTGGAAACATCAAGGGATCCTTAATTCTGGAACGCGCCAGAATATGTTATTCAACACGCAGCCCCACATGTTCGTCCAACCATTCAAATAGCCCATCACCTCAAGCAAACGGAAGTGGCGTTGGCATCACCTGGTTCCTCCAATCATCAGGGAGTCATCAGGTGTTTTCAATTCCTTTATTCTTCCAGGACGCATCAGACGCAGCCCGGTGCACAAACAGCCAGGCTGGGTCTGGCCCGCCAACCTCGCTCCTCACCCCCTTTTGGGAGAGGCTGCAGGTGCCGGGCTCTGGGTTTCGCAACCGGATCCTTCTTGCCCATGGTTGACAAAGTTGACAAAGTATTTTGTGTTTCTCAATCTGGTAAATCAACCATCCACTTGGGCGCTTCAGTATTTCACTTTGACAATCCTTCAAATGGCGCAACCCTGAGCTCGGCACCTCGTTCCCACGATGACCGCTGTCCTTTTGGCCAACATGGCCTGTTTTTTGTGGTGGTTCGTTTCGGCGGGGAGACCCCTCTCTTGTTTCATCACCCAATGGAGAAAGGACAACGTCAGCGAGCTGTGTACAACTAAACCACTCAAATGATAGTCGCTTCCTGCGATGGGTAGATGCCTGAAACCAGGCGGCGGCGAGTGCAGGTCAACAGAAGCACGTTGGGCTAAACGCCTCAACTGCCGCAAACATCCGCACACGAAAGGTCAACTACCCTGATTGAGGGTCCTGGGAGTTCCCACTTGGTTCATTCTCACTGACCAGAGCAGCAGGAAAAACAACAACATCTAATAGCACACATCAAATGCCAACAATCACAAAAACTGACATGCACCAATTTTGAGGCAGATGACCCTTTCATTGTAGATCCCCTATTCAGACCATGGCCAAAGGCCTGGCTTCTCAACTGGCAAATCACAGGCGCCCCTTACACGAGACGAGGGTCCCTTGGCTTTGGGCGCCGCCTCGCAGATCACTTCCTTCCATTGTTCGGCCACCCGCAAAAAAAAAGGCATCGAGACGCAACAAGGACCTGAACTTGGACTTGGGCTGAGATGCTGTGGATGGACGAAATCTTGCACCAAGTTGAACCACACCAAACCAATATTTGTTGGTATTTACAGCAAAATCATCATTCCAGGGTTTCTTAGGTGGTGCGAAATGGATTTCGCAACCATCCACAGTATTGCCTCGGCTTTTGGGAGCCCTTGACAAAATCCCCAAGCTGAGCAGAAGTCGTTCCGCCCAGCTACGCTGCTGACGCCGCAGGAAGTCCTCGCTCACCTGATCGGTTTGGTGTTCCATTCAGCTATGGGCTTGTCTCAAAAGGGTACGCCCCCCCAAACAAAATAAAATTGAAAAAACAATGATTAAAACAACAACAACAACAACAACAACAACAACAACAACAACAACAACAACAACAACAACAACAACAACAACAACAACAACAACAACAACAACAACAACAACAACAACAACAACAACAACAACAACAAAAAGAAGGTGATTGACAATCAGCCGCAACATTTATAACCACGAGGCATTGCGCTTGGGTCACGGATGTTGCAATTGCAAGGCAATGCTATGTTTGTGAACGGGCGGGTACTATGACGGGTCACCATCATCATTAAGGGGCAAATCACTCAAATTAGGCCACAAATCACAAGGGATGTTCAAAACATGAAGAGGGGGTAATATATGGGCAGCGCTGCTGGCCAAAACAAGGCAACTGACTGAGCAACAGAAGAGCAGTTTATGGAAATTGCAAACTTTTCTCCGACGGTCCACTTGGAAGCCTCTTATTTCGTGGTTCCAATTTTTTGGGGGATCAACTGTGCCTCGGGGCCCGGAGTTGAACACCGCGGTCCAACTTGGTGTCGTGACCTTGCGAATCATTCCGGGAAGGAATCGGTGGATTCGTCATCTGCCAAGTCAGAAAGCATGAGCTTCAAAACAGATGATTGGCATCGATTGGCCAACCATGTTTTCCATATTCAATCCCTTCACTGGTGCTACAAATGCGACATCTTTTGCAGCCTAAGGGAAGGATAAATAAAGGATTGCCAGAAGGAATGACAAGGAACTTCAGCTGGAAGTCGAGCAGTGGAACGGTGCCACTGTGTCTTGGTGTTGCTGCTCGGCGCCCTTGTTGGTTGGAAGCGTCTTGTTTGGAGGGTACCCTTTTTTTGGCTTGGTTAGAAAACTAAAAGGGAAAAACCGTATCCTTTTGTTTTTTGTGTTTATGCTGAATTCAGTCGAAATACCACAGAGGTGCGCTAACCAAAACTTCCATACCATACGCAAAACACTGGAATGTTAATGCTTCGCACCGTTTTTGTTGGTGGTTGTGTCAAAACAAGCAGGCCCAGTGACTCGAGGTACCATTTAGAAACCGAAGTTAGAATATGCAACTGCCTACTTATAGGGCAACTGCCCAAAATTAGAGAACTTTGGATGGTTCATCAAGGCTTCAAGGAAGATCACCGCTTATCCACATTTTTGGAAAGACTGCAAGGGGCAACGGGGTACAGGGGTGGGGTTCTAGGGAATATGCCTTGAGGGTGTGATTTGGAAACAGCTGCTGTTTGATTCCCGTAAATGTACACGGCCGAGGCGCCCAAATGCTCTTCATTGGAAACACCGTTGCGTTCTTCACCGTCACCTTAGCAAAGCGTCTTCCAAGTTCAAGCCGCCCGAATCCCGACTGGAAACCAAAAAGTCGGCACTTTGGCGCCCCGTAACCTGCTGAACCTCCCAAGTTCAGGGTTTTGCCTCCTTGACGAAGGTGTACCGCCCTTCACATGGCTGCCACTTGTGGCCCCGGATTCGTGGCGTGTATTATATACATGTATCATTGTTTCTAGGTTTGGAGAACGTGAATTGGCTGGCTGGCCCCCCACTCCCCATCAACGGGTGTGCCGATGAGCTTGTGAGTGCTGACTTGCACACCAAACAACCAGATGCTAAAGCATCAGGCGCTTCGAAAAAATCCAGGGAAACCACAGCCCAAATTCGAGGATGCTTGCTTGCGGGAAATCCGTCATTGTTCTGCGTGCATGATCAACACAACACACATTAAATCACCTTCCCCAAGCAAGAGTTTCCTTTCAATGGATCCTATATGAAATGTGAGGTCGCGAGCGCCTGTCGCAAGGCCCCTATAATTTATTCACCCTGTTTGTTCTTCCCACTTGAATGGATCTTTAACGCACGTAACCAAATCCTTTGCATTCTACCCTTCAACATTAGGAGCTAGAGAAGCCCTTCAAGAAAACGCAGACACAGCATTACCCCGTGTTGTCGACCGACACCAAAGGGTCCATGGAAGGTCCCAGCCCGGCCTTGCTTCACCGGAACTCACTGTCTGTTGAAAGTTGCGGAATTTGGGCCACTGTCGCTCTCTGAAGTTGCAAAATGGAGAGCCCCAATTTCAACCGCTTTCTGCAAGGCAACTTCCTACTGTCCCTGACCAGACCCGGGGCCCAGCACTCGAGCTGGGAGCCCGGCCTCTGCTGTGGACTTCACCACCAGATCGGCCGCCTGCAAGGGCGCGGCGTCCACGGTCATGGCCAACCGGCCCTGCTGGAAGAACACCTCGACGCGTGGAACGCGTGGAACGCGTGAAACGCGTGACACGAAACGGGAAATTTCGTGGCTTTGGGCCTTGGTGATCACAAACGGTGATTGTTGGATCCGGTATGGAGCTGTATCAAGCGTTTCATGTATTCATATATACTCAAGCAACGAGTAGGGTTCAGTCTGGTCACCAAAAGTCAGACTCCTGTTACTCGGCCTCCAGGAACGTCGCGTCTGCGAAGATGCGAATCTCCAAACTTCGCTCCCCTCGCAGGAGCCGGAGTCGGTCCTGCGCATCGGCCAAGTGGTGACCAGCCAAGGGAACTTTCAGGCACGCCCTACTCCACTCGCCGCGGTGCTTTGCTCTAATTACCTGGGGCACGGAAGGGATTCTCAGACAACTCTCCTGGATCACATATCATATCATAAAAGACAAGCGCTTACAGAGGCGACCTGGTTCGGAGACTGTGAGTTGAAGGCGAAGATCTGCACAATGAAACAACAAATTATACAGGTGGTCCAAGAACGAGCGCAGTGGTGGAAAACGACCATAGCAGGTCAAACACCAACATCCACCCCAACTGCGGACACACCAAACAAGAAATACGTGCAGACTATGTTCCACCATCTGCAATCACTCCTCAAGCCCGCGCCGTTTGCCGTGGCGTTGGCTAAGCGGCACGGCGTGGCCATCAACTGGCCGGACCATATTCAGAAGTGGTGCAACCACTGGTCATGGTTTGCAAATCTATGATTTGGCCTCCACCCTCTAAAAATCCGCCGACCCCTTCTCCCAAAGGGGAGGCGCACGGGAAGGGTGATCATCATCATCGGCATCATCGAGATGCTGGGGATCAAGGCATGACTCGTCCTTTCAAGTCCTGCGCCAAGTTGCTTACTTGGGGTCTAGGATCTAGGGTCTGGCGCAAGAATATCGATCTTGCCCTACCTAGACCCTAGACCTTAGACTCAGAGCTAGCCTAACCTAGCGCAAATTGCTTCAAATCTTAATGACCCAAATGGCATCTGAGGCGGGGTGCCGTTTCGATGGTGGCTAGGAATCAAGGTGGTCACGAGATCCTGTAGAGTCCGCTTGACATGCAAGTGATGCGTAGTCATGATTATGATCATCGCTGCTGGAGATCTGAGGCGAGGTGCCGTTTCGATAGTGACGCGTAGTCGTGATCATCGCTAGGGATGCTACGATGATAGTGATCATGACAGTCATCCGCAGCTTTGGTAATGCAGAGGATGCCGCGATGATAGTTATCATAAGAGTCATCATCCTTATCATCTTCATGATGATTGTCATCATAGTCATCGCCTTCATCATCGTCATCATGATATTCTTGTCTTTCTTCTATATACATTTCAAATGTGGCGTTAGGCATCCTTGGTAATGCAGAGTCATCCGCAGCTTTGGTAATCGCTAGGCATCCTTGGTAATGCAGAGTCATCCGCAGCTTTGGTAATGCAGAGGATGCCACGATGATAGTGATCATAAGAGTCATCATCCTTATCATCTTCATGATGATTGTCATCATAGTCATCACCTTCATCATCGTCATCATGATTGTCATCATCAGCATCATCTCTTTCTTCTATCTTTCTTCTATATACATTTCAAATGTGGCGTTAGGCACCCTTGGGAATGCAGAGGATGCTACGATGATAGTTATCATGACTTAGAGAGCACTGGTGATGCAGAGGATCATCATGACTACTGGTGATGCTGAGGATGCGTCATCATGATTATCATGCGACTTGAGATGCAAAAGATGCGTGGTCATGACTATCATGAGGATTGCTGGACGGCTGCATGATCATCATGATGACTGCGGGACAATTATCATGACAGCATCATCCTTGTCACCCTCGTCATCAATATCATCATCATCATCATCGTAGTCATCACCATCTCTTTCTATACTTCTATATTATATACTATACATTTCAAGTGTGGCGTTAGAGAGCATTGGCAATGCAGAGGATGCTAAGATGATAGTTATCATCACAGTCCTCATCCTTATCATCATTATCATCATGGTCATCATCATCTCTTATTAGCCGGCACTGGTGATGCCGAGGATGCTACGATGATAGCTATCATCACAGTCCTCATCCTTATCATCATTATCATCATGGTCATCATCATCTCTTATTGGCCGTCACTGGTGATGCCGAGGATGCTACGATGATAGTTATCATCACAGTCCTCGTCCTTATCATCATCATCATCATCTCTCATTAGGCAGCACTGGTGATGCAAAGGATGCTACGATGATAGCTATCATCACAGTCATCATCATGATCTTCTTCATCATCACCGGCACTGGTGATGCCGAGGATGCTACGATGATAGTTATCATCCCAGTATCATCATTATCATCATGGTCATCATCATCTCTTATTTGCCGGCACTGGTGATGCCGAGGATGCTACGATGATAGTTATCATCACAGTCCTCATCCTTATCATCATTATCATCATGGTCATCATCATCTCTTATTAGCCGGCACTGGTGATGGCGAGGATGCCACGATGATAGTTATCATCACAGTCCTCACCCTTATCATCATTATCATCATGGCTATCATCATCTCTTATTTGCCGGCGCTGGTGATGCCGAGGATGCTACGATGATAGTTATCATCACAGTCCTTGTCCTTATCATCATCATCATCATCTCTCATTAGGCAGCACTGGTGATGGTGATGCCGAGGATGCTACGATGATAGTTTTCATCACAGTCCATCATCATCTCATATTAGCCGACACTGGTGAGGCCGAGGATGCTACGATGATAGTTATCATCACAGTCCTCATCCTTATCATCATTATCATCATGGTCATCATCTCTTGTTAGCCGGCACTGGTGATGCCGAGGATGCTACGATGATAGTTGTCATCACAGCCCTCGTCCTTATCATCATCATCATTTTTTTTTTCATTAGGCAGCACTGGTGATGCAAAGGATGTTACGATGATAGCTATCGTCACAGTCATCATCATGATCATCCTTATCATCATCATGATGACTCTTCTCATCATCATCATGATGATCATCATCATCTCTTTCTTGTTCTCATTAGGCAGCACTGGTGATGCAAAGGATGTTACGATGATAGCTAGCATCACAGTCATCATCATGATCTTCTTCATCATCATCATGATGATGGTCGTCGTCATCATCATCATCACCCTTCTCATGATCATCATGATGGTCATCATCATCTCTTTCTTTTTCTTATTTCTTTTTCTTATATGCATTTCAAAAGTAACGTTAGACAGCATTTTCTTATATGCATTTCAAAAGTAACGTTAGACAGCATTGGCAATGCAGAGGATGCTACGATGATAGTTATCATCACAGCCCTCACCATTATCATCAATATCATCATGGTCATCATCATCTCTTATTAGGCAGCACAAAAGATGCTACGATGATAGTTATCATCACAGTCATCATTATGATCATCCTTATCCTCATCATGATGATGGTCGTCATCATCATCATCACTCTTCTCATCATCATCATGATGATCATCATGATCTCTTTCTTCTTCTTATATACATTTCAAAAGGGACGTTAGACAGCATTGGCAATGCAGAGGATGCTACGATGATAGTTATCATCACAGTCCTCATCCTTATCATCATTATCATCATGGTCATCATCATCTCTTATTTGCCGGCACTGGTGATGGCGAGGATGCTACGATGATAGTTATCAGTCCTCATCCTTATCATCATCATCATCATCTCTCATTAGGCAGCACTGGTGATGCAAAGGATGCTACGATGATAGTTATCATCACAGTCATCATCATGATCTTCTTCATCATCATGATGATGATGGTCGTCATCATCATCATCATCACTCTTCTCATCATCATCATGATGGTCATCTCTTTCTTCTTCTTATATGCATTTCAAAAGTAACGTTAGACAGCATTGGCAACGCAGAGGATGCTACGATGATAGTTATCATCACAGCCCTCACCATTATCATCATTATCATCATGGTCATCATCATCTCTTATTTGCCGGCACTGGTGATGCCGAGGATGCTACGATGATAGTTATCATCACAGTCCTCATCCTTATCATCTCTTTTTACATTTCAAATGTGGCGTTTGGGCACCATTGGTAATGCACTTTCCGGGCCCGGATTTTTGCCCATGTTGGCGCCAAATTGATTCATCCAAAGTCAATCAAAAGAGCGCTTGCATCCGGGCCCAAATTAGGGTAGTTGAAGCTGAGATTCAGGAGGGTGGCCTCCCCGAAATGGGGGGGCTCATTTTTTGTCCATGCGTTCCAGAATGCGGTGTCTAAATGGGGGGACCTTTTTTGCCTTGCATTCAGAGGAGGTATGTACTCCATTTTACTGTTGACTTAGCACACTGAAAACATACACTGGTCTGTTTTATTCCGCATCTTAGTCGCGACACCGCGCGCTCAAACCGGTTGAGCCAACGAGCTACATAAACAGGTCCGATCGTTTACGCAGGACAACCATGTTTGTAGCATCCAAAAGGAACGTGTTGCTTGTGCTCTGTTAGCGGCTGTGTTTGTTTGAGGGTGCCCTTCTTTTGGGTTGCCTTAAAGGCAAGCCAAAAGAAGCCAGCCCTCTTTGGAGTACTTAACTGCATGGGGTCGGCGGCACTGGGCGGCAGCCCTTAAATCCGGCCACCGGACGTGATCGGGCCGCAGGCCAAAGCCCGTTAGGGCTTACCTTCAGGTATAAGGCCGCGCGCCCCATGCCGCCGACCATGCGCCGACCATGCTCCGACCATGCGGGTACGTTTTGGGCTGGGCCCTCCCTTATAAGGGGCGAAGGATTTGCGGATTGGTTTAGGCGATTTTCGAGGATTTTTGTAGCACCTCCCCGCAGCGCCCAAAAACGAGCATTTTTAGGGGGTGCCTAGTACTGGACAACACCCCCAGCATTGCCAGCACCATCCCGGATGATGCGGATGATGTTATGCATGCTGGCGATGCGGGTGATGCTGGGGATCTTAAAATATGAAATTCCGAAATTCTCAAACTCTTAAAATCTCAGAATCTTAAAAGCTTCAAAAACTTAAATTCTTTAAATCTCGAACTATTGCAATCTGAAAATCTTAAATCCATGAACAAATAAAATATAATAAAATTCCTTCAATCCGGGCTATATTCTAAATTCCTTAAACTCTTAATCTTGAAATTTTGAAGTCTTGACATCTTAAGATCTTAAAATCTTAAATTCCGAAAGTCGCCAAATCTGAAAATCTCACCAAAAATAAAATCTTAAAGCCTTCGAAATCTGATAATGGATGGAAAATGGCTGGGCAATGGCCTGGCTGTTATAACCTTCAAAAACCTTAAATCTTCGAATCTTAGAACCTTAATTCTTAAACCATTGAAACCTTCAATTCCGAAAGTCTTCAAATCTGAGACCCTTAGAATCTCAAAGTTTTTAGAATGTTGAAATCTTAACATCTACTCATCGGACTTACAGGAAAGGGAAGTGACAGAAACCCTCATGTCTTTGAATCTTCAGATATTAAAATCTTAAAATATGAAATTCCGAAATTCTCAAACTCTTAAAATCTCAGAATCTTAAAAGCTTCAAAAACTTAAATTCTTTAAATCTCGAACTATTGCAATCTGAAAATCTTAAATTCATAAACAAGTAAAATATAATAAAATTC